GCCAGACTCTGCCTGCACCTCTGAACCTCTGAGCAGGCTCTGCAGTCTTCACAGGTGGACCTGTCGGTAAGCCATGAGCACCCTGACCTGCACTATGGCAAAAGCTGGGAGTCACAGGAACCGCTGAGCGCTGCAGGAGGCGCTCATCATGGGGGCACAGAGCTTGGGGGACCGCCAGCAACATGGTGGGGCATGCACACATTGCAAGGAGTGCATACATCATGGGGGGTAGGGGTGGAGCTCCGGGGGACCACCAGCAACACAGTGGGGCACTCATCATGCGGGACAGAACTCGAGGACCGCCAGCAACACAGTCGGGCATGCACACATCGTGGGGGGAGCGCACATCATGGGGGGTGGGGTGGAGCTCTGGAGGACTGCCAACAACAGTGGCCAGGTGTGGGGAGGGGAAGAGAGTGGAGGAACGGCCCCTCAAAAACACAGGGAACTTTCTTTCCAGAAATCTCTGGGAATTTATGGCCAGGGTAATGATGGAAGGAAGGATGAGGCAGATGAGACTCAGTTTCTACTGGAAACACTTCAAAATGCCCCTCAGTGGAATGATTGCTTTTAAATAAGCAGGAGCAAGAAGTTGGTTGAGAAATTAATTCACAGGAAGGCCTGTGGTGCCTGCAGGCAGTTACAAGAACACTGCAGGCAAGGGCATGCCCGGCTGGGCTGTGGGAACAGCTCCCTGAACAGATAACCCCTTTACATCATGCAAATACTAAACCGAAGCCTGGGATCCGCCTGCAGCAGGGTGGAGATGAAGGCGCTGCAGCCTCAGCGCTCACGACCAAGTTCTGCCGTTCGGGGCACCCAAAAGCAGCAGGCCCTGGAGGTCCTTGGGACCGAGAGCCAGTTTTAGACAAGATGCCCTGCACCGCAATGATGACAACCTGTGGACCCGGGGAGAATGTCACGACGAAGGCGTGAGGCGGACCGTCCACTTTCACAAACAGCCACCCCTGAGGATAAAAATAGACATCATCAGTTTCCAGGTCTAAAAGGTACTAAAAGCACGAAGTCTGGGAATCGAAGTTGGCTTAGACACGTTCATCGGCACTGGGGGGGCTGGGGCGGGGCTGGGGGGCAGGCCCGACGGCCTCAATCCCAGACCACTGCACGTGGCGGCGTCACTTCTGGCCCTTCAGCCTGGGCTTTGTGTCACGTGAGGGTCACCGTTTTGTGCATCGGGAGCCTCTACACATGGCCCTTCATCCATGGCCAGGTGCCATTTCTACGTGTGTCCATGCAGATGATGAAGGCACTGGTGTAGGAGAGAAACGACGTTTCAAAGTGACGCCCTTTGTTTACATAACGTGGCTCTTCAGTGAATTTGAACACGAGTAAAACAGGAACGGCCCAAACCTTTCGCTTCCCGCTCCACAAAGCCAAGCTTTCAGTCCAGCAAGAAAAAGCCTGGGTGTAACAGAGACAGGCAGGGGAGACGTGAGATTTACGTGGGTGTCCCTTCCTGGCCCTGTTCCTCTACAACAGACACAGCAGTGTTCCACGTCCTGGTCTGAGCCCTGGAGCTGTGGCTGGAGGCAGACGGCCTGAGGGTCACTGCCATGATGTCACAGAGGCGAGTCATGGCCAAGGGAAGTGAAATGACTTGTCGGAGTAGATGAGGTGATGGGACTCAAACTCAGCTTTCTAACTCTTCAAGTCAGGGCTTTGGCCAGTCTTTCAAAGCGGCCATTGTTTACCTGTAGTTTAACGGGTAGCAGGGAAAATATTTTGCTGAAATATATGGTATTCCGTTCACCATTATGGAGCATTCCCTGGCCACAGCCAGGTGCGGGGCACTGGGCCCAGGAAGTTTCAAGGTTGAAGTGAGGTCAAGGTCAGCCTCAGCTGCACTGAGAGGAAGGGCAGCAGCCCCCAGCACCCAGCTCAGGAAATCAGGAGCAGCCGGGAGATGGAGGCACGGCAGCCGATCCATGCCGGGCAGACAGAGCCATAGTCAGTACCCCAGGCCCAGAAAAGAGTGAGACATCCAGGAACCGGAAGAGGGGCCAGGGGCTGCTTCAGCTTGGAGACAACATACACAGAAAATCCCAGGGAATCTACAAGAACCAGCGCAACTAGCAAGAAGTCAACAATGCTGTTGGGTAAGACTGACACACACTCCCAAGGTGACAGCCCTCGCCACGTGCTTCAGCAGCAGTCTCCCCTGTTTTTGTTGAGACACCAAAGCCATACCTGAGCACTTGGGATGTGGGGAGGCCACGGTCAGGGCGAGCATAGAGAGAGCAGAGGGGCCACGGTCAGGGCGGGGACAGAGGGAGCAGAGCGGCCACGGTCAAGGCGGGCGCAGAGAGAGCAGAGGGGCCACGGTCAGGGCGAGCACAGAGGGAGCAGAGGGGCCACAGTCAAGGCGGGCACAGAGGGAGCAGAGGGGCCACAGTCAAGGCGGGCACAGAGGGAGCAGAGGGGCCACAGTCAAGGCGGGCACAGAGGGAGCAGAGGGGCCACAGTCAAGGCGGGCACAGAGGGAGCAGAGGGGCCACAGTCAAGGCGGGCACAGAGGGAGCAGAGGGGCCACAGTCAGGGTGGGCGCGGCAGAGGGAGTAGAGGGGCCACGGTCAGGGCGCGGACAGAGGGAGTAGAGGAGCTGTGCAGGGCCCAGGAGTCTATGGGGAGCTCATCTGGGGACCTGATGGCCTCGGCTGGACTTGAGTCCGCAGGGCTGAGTGGTTTGGGGTGGGGGACACGGCAGGGACTTTGCGGGCAGTGTGCAGTGTGAACGCGCAGTGCGGGGTACAGGCCTCTGGCTGGGAATGCCTATCAGTGCCTGGAGAGCAGGGGCAGTGAATTTGGCTGAACACAGCCGAGTGTGGTGGCTTCAGCAAACACAGCCAGGTCCTGGTGGCCGGCACAGCGTGGACACAGAGGTAAGGAGGAGGCTAGGTCTCAGTGCCAGTGACCGGACGGAGCAGCTCACCGAATCTGGCCCATGGAGCGCCGGGAGGCAGCAGGAGCCCCATCCGCTCTCCGTCACGCGCTCACAGAAGATGGAAGGGTGGCCTTTCCCAGCTCCACAGCCGTGGCCTCCAAGGTGTTCTTGGCACTCCCTGCTCTGTGACTTTGCTAAACCCTCCCTTTCCCTCTGTGGACAAGGAGCTCCAGACCCAGCCACAGGGGACTGAGCACGGTGCCGGCCTGTCGCACGGTAGCTATGCGGCCCCTGCTCCCTCATACAGGTGCTGCTTCACTGGCAAATAAGCTGCAAATTGATGCTGCCTTCGCAGGGCTGATGTGGGAATTAAGAGACTGCATGTGAGTGCCGCTGGACAGGGCGCCACACACACATGCGCTCACGAGCACACGCATACATGGCCACCCCGCACACACGTGCACGCCGCGGCTGGCTGATGTCCAGCGGGGAACGTGGACCTGCTCCACAGGCCTTCTAATGAGCTGCTGGGGTTGGTCTGCTTCAAAACCAGGCAGGGAGCAAAGCCAGCCTTGCCCGATGCCAGCCCCTCCGTCACGCTCTCCTCACCCATGGCGCCCTAGAGCGAGCCTGACATGGCTTCCTCCTGGGCTCCCTGGCCACCTGGCTCCAACCCCACCTCTGTATCACACACGGGTGCCCTCTGCACACCAACAGCTAAAGGCAAAGGGATCTCTGGATGTCTCTGTCCCCAACATCCCTGCAGAGGGCAATGTATCCCCAACTCCATTCCCAGCACACACCCTTTGTTCCAGAATCGTCATGTTCCGTAAACAAGCCCTTCCCAGCACCCTCGCACCACTCTGCACAGCTCACCCCTCCACTGTGGCACACGAGGAGCTTTCAAGAGCTCTCTGCAGCCCCGAGCCTTCCACAGCTTCCTTCGAGGGTCACACCTGCTATCACCACTGGGTGGACGAGGTCCCCCAGTCTTGGGCTGGACCAGCCTGGGAGGCCACGTAGCGCTTACCAGTCCTCTCTGGAAGGCTCCATGAGCTGTGGCTGGTCACACAGGCTCGAACCCTAGAGTGGCCTCTCCCCACCCCAGCGCGGTGCCGCCCTCTCTGAGGCCCTCCTGGCCCTGCTGTGACCTCCTCAGGCCACCCTCCTGGAGGAAAGTGCCCCCACCCTGTGCTTCCTTACAATCCACTTGACACCGAGGCCAGGCAATGCTTCATTCTTTGGTGTCTTCATTCCAAAATCTTTAATAACCCCCACACCTGTGAAATAAAGTTCAACCAGGTGTGCCTGGAACCGCACACTCTCTGCGTGGACGGAGCATCCCTGAGTGTCCCCGCACACAGGCCACAGAGTGGCCAACCATCCTCTAAGCATCTTCCCAGCCCACTCTGCCACGTCCATGTCTGTGCCCCCACCTGACATCCAGCCCTCCAGGCCCTTCCCAGGGCTTCCCGTTCAGTACAGGCCAGCCCTACCCACAGAGCGTCTCAGCCCCACTCCTCCTGCAGAAGGTGACCCTGTCTCCCAGTAGGCCTGGTGCCACCTGCAACCCCAGCCCACACCCTGGATGACTGAGGGGTGAACAGGTGGCTGCAGGGCTGCAGGTGTGAGGGTCAGAGGTGATGCTCATCAGAGAGGGCAGAGCCAGGCAGCCCCATGTAAGGGGTCCGCCTGGCCCAGACCACCTATTCAGAGTTGAGGAGAGGGAGCACAATGGCGGGCACAGGGGGGGCCAATGCGGGCTCCGGGTGAGGCAGGCCGAATTTACTGCTATGCAGGGTTGCTTCCCGCCAGGGTCAGGAGCCTCACAGGTGGTCAGTGACAGGCGGAGGAGCTGAGTGCGGGGCACCAGGGAAGGCCAGGGGCAGGACAGGCAGGTGACAGCCACGCACGACCCAGAGGTGGCTGCCGAGGCAGAGCGCGTTCCACTTTAACCCCAAGGAGAGGAGGGGAATGGAGGTGCCTGGAGAGGGGGCGAGGCTGGAGAAAGGGCGGGCTGGAAGTGCAGGGCTCGGCATCCCTGGGGAAGGGCCGGCTGGTTCACATCACCCTGGGGAGGAGGATGGGGATGACTCACGCTGTCCACTGCGAGGATCTTGGCCCAGATGAACACGAGGAGTGGCCGCAGCTCTCGGGCCGAGCTCTGGAGCAGCTTCAGCACGTAGGGGAAGATGCCGACAGACAAGGCCTGGGGAGAGGGAGGGTGTCAGTGCGCCAAGGCTCTGCCTGTGCCCGTGGGGAGAGAACCGCAGCAGCGGGGGCCATGCAGGGCCCGCTGTGGCGTCATCTTCAGCACATACGAGAAACGAGACAGGAATGAACGCGTCTCACTGAGAGTAAAGCGGGGCTTCCTTCAGCTTTATCTGTCTCTCATTTATTCCTAGAAGTTGCCACATGTCGCCAGCCTTGACTGGTGTCAAGAGAACGGAATTAATTGGGTGGCAGCTTTTCTTTGTTGAGGCTCAGGCTGCTGGCGGCGGGGGCCCGTGCCTCTCTTCGATGGCCTTGTCTGCTTCAGCAACAGAGCCTTGGCCACCTTTGCTGTTCCACTCACGTACGGGCCATGGCCACCGCTCCGTGATGGCGCGGCCAGCTGGCTCACACTGACATTTGCGCTTGAGATACATCTTGGGAGAGAGACGCCTGCTCTGGCAAAGGCAGGGAGGAGCATGGCTCTCCCCGGGGCTCACTGGCACCCGGATCTGCCCACGTGTCATTCTCAGGGGACTCTGTCCTCAGAGGCAGGGGAGGGAGAGAGCGGAGGGCACTGCAGTGTGAGTGACGCCCGGCAAAGTGGGCTGCACTCAGCCAGGGGTTTCTGCTGTGTCCTTATCTCAAAGCTGCTGGAATTTCAAAGCTATCCCAATGGTAACCACTTCCAATAAATGAGGGCCCCTGTAACCAAGACAGGAGATGGTGGTGGGACCCAGGCCTGGGCCCCTTCCCTTTGAAAGGCCACATTTAACAAGGAATGAGGCGTTTCCCTGGTTCAGGAAGCCAGGCCCCCACCTGAGAGCCAAAACCTGTACCTGTAAAAATACCTCATTTATCCAGCCTCAGCTCATGCACCAGCAACACTTCCAACGAGCAGAAGCTTAATTCTTTAAAGGCAGAAATTGGTTTTAAAAAATTAACCTTAAAAATGAAACTCTTCCTAAAATGCTATGAATACACGCTTCCTGTCTTCTTAAAGGGTGTAAGTAACAGCACGCAGGCCTTTCCAGGATGACTCAGCGACACCACCACACACACCGAGTGACCGAGTCACGTCAGCCCTCCACCGATGACTCAGGCCTCCACTCTGTCACAAGCTATTTGTGGCCTCAGGGACCTGGGGTGAAAACGGCCCAGTGATGAGTGCCGAATTGTTCTTCCTGGTGTTGGACGATTTCCTCCCTCCTTCAATGCTGGACTGTCAATCACGATTTCCTCCCGCCTTCAATGCTGGACTGTCAATCACCACCCTTTGCCAACGTTATATGACGACAAAACTTAAACACACCAAACCCCAGGTACTCCCCACCCACCTTCCGTGACAGCGGTTCTGCACCCCCCGCCCCACGGCGCCTCTCACAAGCGTGGAAATTAGGGTTTATATGTCACGTGTTTCATTGAACGTTTAGTGTCTCTCTCTAAAAAAATTAGCTGTCTTTCATAAAAACACGATCCAATACCATTACCACACCCAAGAAAAACAAACTGATCGTTGAACACCATAAACCCAGCTCCTGTAAAATTTCTTTGGAACTTCAGCGGAGCCCAGTGAGGTCTGCGGGCCGCGGGACTCTCCAGCTTCCTGGAATCTGCGGTTCCCTCAGCCTCCTTTCACTTTCCTCGTGAGTTATTTGTTAAAATGCTCGTCACTGCTTCATCCTGACTCTGCCTGGCTTTTGTTTTTGTGGCCACCACGACTCTGCTATGGAATGAGGACCAGAAGAGCATTTCCAAACCGTGCCTGCCAGGAGGCTGGGCAGACAGGGCTGAGAATCCAGACTCCTCCCGAGGGAAGCAGCAGCACCACGAGGTGGGCGCAGTGTCAGGCTCAGGGGCGCCCTGCTCCTCGGCAGCGCTGGGCGGCTGCTCAGGGACAGGGGACCCGCCCACAACACGCTCTCCTGTGTCTAACATCAGACACGAAGGGGCCGAAAACCCCAGAACCGCAAATGCCAGGCAGCACTGCAGGCCGCACAGGCACAGAGTGGGCTCCTGAGGGCCTTGGGATCGACAGGACGCCACCACGGTGGAAACTTGCCCCGGGTCTCATGGCTGGGGGTGGCTCTGGACCCTGAAACACGTGCACAGACTGAAACACGGAGCGTCATTTCTGCCCACCTCCCTCAGTCCCCAGGTTGATGTGGAAGGCACGCACCAGGCTCACCGCCCAGGGACCCAGGTCCAGAAATCTTCCCAGCAAGTCCAGTGCTCTCAGCCGGTGCACTTGGCTTAACAGCACCTGGAAGAACAAGAAGAAAACACTGTCAGTGCGAAAGCAAACTCATGTGCAGCCCCTGAAAAGCCCCCACTGCGAGCTGCCAGCTTCGGGGCGGTCTGATCAGTTTCCATCCATCTGCTGGTTCAGCCACTCAGTTACCTACAGCTGCAGCTCACGCTTCTAGGTAGGTTAAGAAAACATTCTTTATGCCTTGATTACACAGGCAAAATATGCTCAATGTAGAAAGTATGAGAACAGACACGTCTGCTTGCATTTAAAAAGCTAACTCACTGGTGACATTTCAGCACGGGAGCCCACACATTGGTCTCTCTGTACACACTTCTCTTAAAGGTTCCAAACTAGATAATATATGATTACATTGCTCCTCTCTTTTTGTTTTTTTGAGATGAAGCCTTGCTCTGTTGCCCAGGCCGGAGTGCAGTGGCGCAATCCTGGCTCAGTGCAACCTCAGCCTCCTGGGTTCAAGTGATCTCCTGCCTTAGCCTCCTGAGTAGCTGGGATTATAGGCACCCGCCACCATGGTGGCTAATTTTTGTATTTTCAGTAGAAACGGGGTTTCACCATGTCGGTCAGGCTGGTCTTGAACTCTCGACGTTAGGTGATCCGCCTGCCCCGGCCTCCCAAAGTGCTGGGATTCCAGGTGTGAGGCACCGCGCTGGGTCTTTCACATCTCCTTTTTAAACTAAATAATGCACCGTGAACGTGGTAAGGACTGGCCATATCACTCCCAACGGCAGCACAGTGCTTCCTTTACGTAAATGTACACAATTCTTTTAAACAACTTCCCCACTGATAGATAGTTATGTCATCAAAATGTTCCTACTTTTAAAATGTTTATTTACTTATTTTTGAGATAAGGTCTTGCTCTGCTGCCCAAGCTAGAGTACAGTGACGTGATCGTGGCTCACTGCAGCCACAAACCCCTGGGCTGAAGTGATCCTCCCACCTCACTTCTGAGTGGCTGGGACCACGGGGATGTGCCACCACGCCTGGCTTAGCTTCGTATTTTATAGAGACTGGGTCTTGCTACATTGCCACGCAGGTCTTGAACTCCCGGCTCAAGCGTTTCTCCCGCCTCAGCCTCCGGAAGTGTTGGGCTGCTCTTATAAATAATACTGTGGTCAATATCCTAATGGATACGTCTGCACACTCCGATGATTTTCTCCCCCTAAGATAAATCTGAGTACTAAAAAACGAAGGTCGGAGCACATATGCTTAAGTTCCCAAATGACCCCCTGGCTGAGCCCACTCACATCTCGACGGCACGCACGTGGGTGCCAGCTTCCCGCCGCCTGAGCTGGTCACCCAGCAGTGTTCACTGAGGTTTGACTCTGGGCAAATCACTGAACATTGGCGAGCCTTGATTTATTAATTCATAAAACACATATGACACAACACATGTGACACACAGGCTTTCATAAATAATAAATGACTCGTGGGACAACGGCAGCCTCTATTACACTATTATTGGCCACCAGGACAGGCGAAAACATCCTTTGAGTCTGGATTTCTTGGATTTCAAGGGGAGTACCTTTTGCAGGTTGACGGGCCATTTCCCGAGTAAACTTCAGTGTTCTACTTCAATAGTTGGCTTTTTCTTACTGACATGTCAGAGTTCCTTATAAATTAGAGTGGGCTTTGCCAGAGGTTTGGCAAGTACTTTCTTTTTGTTGTTGTATCAAATTTTTACATTTTTAATGGCTTTACTTCTATTGATTTTTCCTTAATGGTGTCTACGCTGGGGGACACGTGCACCGAGACTCTCACACCCAGAGCGTTTCCATCCAGGATGCTCCAGTTATCCAAGGGGTGTTTATGGGCAGGTGCTGCGCTGGGTGCTGGGAGAGTGACCACGGACAGTAGGGACCGCCCCGCCCATCCTTCACGTGGCTGGGGAGACAGGCAAGTGACTGCCCCATCGCCACACCTGAACACAGAGCCGCGAGCCCTGACCTGGCTCCAGAAACTGGAGGCCTCAAAGATTTTCCCTTCCTCCCTGGGAGAAGATGCACAGGACACAGGCGGGCAGTGGGTCCTGGAGGTGACGTGAGTGGGCTACTGCGGTGCAGGTGGAGAGGCTGGAAGAAGTCGGGTGTCTGAGGACACGCGGGCCACCAGTCTGACTGAGGACAGCGACGGGGGTGGGGGGGGCGGACTGGGAAAGGCCCCGCAGATGGTGGGCATAGAGGTCAGTTTGTCTGCTGACTGTCCAGTGTGCTTGCTTTGGGAGCAGGCTTGGCAAGAGGCTGGAAGTCGGGGAGGTGAGTGGAAGGGGCTGAGCTTGACCAGGGTGCCGAGGTGGAGATAGGGACGAAGAGACTCCAGTGCTGTCTGGAGGCTGAGGGAAGAAGGGGTGAGGGAAAGCAAACTCTGGAAAAGAAGGTTTGGGATGAGTTTGAAAACCCTCAAGACAGGCAGGGGAAAGGGACGAGGAGGCCAGTGGGGTTGGAGCTGGGGTGGAGGACAGCAGGGAGGGGAGTGGAGACAGGGCCATGTGAGTCACGCTCCCGGGGGTCGGTCAGCACGACTTCCACGGAGGAGCCACCGAGTCAGGAGCATGGGCCGTGGGGAGCCGTGGAGGGGGAGGAGCTTCCCTGTGGGGGAAGAAGAGTGCGGCAGGAGGATGAGGGGGACAGGGAAGGTCACAGGTGGCAGCAAGAGGGGGAAGGCCAGGCTGGAGGGGCAGGAGATGGGGTGTTGGGGGGATCCCAGCATATCCAGCCTAGAGGACAGAGAAAGAGCAGCAGGGATGAGGCCTCACTTCCCCTCTACATGCCCAGAGCCAGCTCCTATGCTGGGTTCATGGCGGACCCAGGAGTGGCGGGTTCCCCATGCGGGCGATGCTGAGTCTGTAATTAAGAGGCTGGGAAAGGAATGTGGGCTGCTCGCGGGCTACATGAACTGGAAGCAGATCCCTCTCCCATGCTGAACTCAGAGGGTGTCGCAGGCCACTGCTGCGTGGAACCCAGGTTGGAAGGGCCAGTCGGTGGAAAAGCATGGGCGCTGGGGCCGGGCTCATCTGATGTTAACCCATCCTCCATCTCTGCCCAATTATTGGCTTCAACTCCTAACTTCTGGGAACTTCAATGTCATTATCAAGAAAAATGGAGATGGCCGGGCGCGGTGGCTCACGCCTGTAATCCCAGCACTTTGCAAGGCTGAGGCGGGTGGAACATCAGGTCAGGAGATCGAGACCATCCTGGTCAACATGGTGAAACCCCGTCTCCACTAAAATACAAAAAATTAGCTGGGCGTGGTGGCGCACGCCTGTAGTCCCAGGTACTCAGGAGGCTGAGGCAGGAGAATTGCCTGAACCCAGGAGGCGGAGGTTGCGGTGAGCCGAGATCGTGTCACTGCACTCCAGCCTGGCAACAGACAGAGGCTCTGTCTCAAAAAAAAGAAAGAAAAATGGAGACAACAGTACTTGACTACTTGACTTGGGCTTCTTCTCCAAGTTCAGAGACAGACTACAAAGCACACAGAGCCATGCGCACCAGGGAGCCCAGAGAAGATAAGGTCACCATCGCCGCGTTCAGCTTTCGGACGTCCCCGCCACTCCATGTTCTGAGGACTGAATCTGTGTAGGCAGCACTAGGCTGCCTGAGGCTGGAGTTTCTAGATGGCCCAGGGAGAGGAGAGGAGGCAGGCCTCGTGGTGGCTGCAGTCCTCAGAACTCAAAGACATCATCAGGTCTAAAGCTCACACAGATTGCTTTCTGAGTCTCCTTGTTATTTCCAACACTGAACAGGGACAAGCCTGTTTCTAAGGTCGGCAGTCGCAGAACGAATGGAAGCCGCAGAACAGGGCAGAGAGGTCTGACCAAGACCAGCTCTTGCTACTGTTTTACCAGCACACTAGCAATAAAGGTCTCCCTAGAAAGTGCTCCTCACAAACAGCAAAAGCAAACCGGACGCTGGTTCACAACCACAACCATGGCGTGGTCCCGAGTGGCGCACTGCAGGAGCTGTGGGTGCTGCCGAACACACGCTGGGGCCGTGGCAGCCCACCTGCCCAGGAGCCAGAACCGGAGGACCGCGGGCAGCACAGGGTTTGGTGCCGCGATGATCCCATTTGCAAAGAAACATCGTCAATGCAGAGTACTGGGGAAATGTTAGTACTGTTTCTTTTTCTTCAAACATTACATTATCTTCCTGCTTCCTTTTGTTGATTTACATTTTTTAAAAACTGAAGCCAACATAAAGCAAAATTACTTTTAAAATAGGATTGGCTTTTAGAAAAATTTGTATTTGTACTTAGAACAACAAAAAATCTCCTGTTACAGACCATCCCAGGATCTATGGAAATGACAGAATTAAAGGGTGGTGAGCTTAATGACTTACTGAGATTTATTTTCACCTGTGGGAACTCAAACTAAAGATTAATCACGGTGGCCAGCATGGTGGTGGACGCCTGTAATCCCAACACTTTGGAAGGCTGAAGCTGGTGGATCGCTTGAGGCCAGGCGCTCGAGACAAGCCTGGCCAACATGGTGAAACTCTGTCTCTACGAAAAACACCAAAGTGAGTTGGGTGTGGTGACGCGTGCGTGCAGTTCCAGCGACTCGGGAGGCTGAGGCAGGGGGCTGGCTTGAGCCTGGGAGTCGGAAGCTGTGGTGAGCTCTGATCACACCACTGCAATCCAGCTGAGGTGACCACATGAAAACAGAACTGCTAAGGTTACTGAACTTCATTTGCCTTGTATACAAAGGGAGTGCTCGGACAAACCAGAAAAGCTGCTTCCTAAGAGAAGATTCTCCAGTGCAGCCCTGCAGAGCCGGGCACTGCAGCCCAGGGTACCTGGGCCCCTGATGGGCAGGGCGATTCTGAAGTCCCCGGTGTATATGGTATGTATGGCATCACTCTAGTGTGTCATTCTGCCATCCCTCGGTCACGATCCTGTACTTCTAGGTCCCAAATTCTATTTGTTAAAAAAAAAAAAAAAAGATATATGGAGAGCGAGCAGACTTCCTAATGAAATGCTCACACTGATTTGTGACATCTAGGAAAAGAGACTAAAACTTTATCCCATAAAATCACTCTTGGCCAGGTGCAGGGGTGCACACCTGTAATCCCAGCTACTCGGGAGGCTGAGGCACGAGAATCGCTTTAACCCAGGAGGCGGAGGCTGCAGCGAGCCGAGATCCCCCATCCACAGGAGACTGGATGAAGAAGCTGCGGCGTATAGGCATCACGGAACACTACTACGCCAGAACAAGAAGAAAATCGTGTCTTTTGCAGCAACGTGGGTGAAACAGGAGGCCATCATGCTAAGTGGAGTCACTCAGAAACAGAACACCAACTATTGCATGTTCTCACATCTGCATGGGTGGGAGCTAAATGACAGGCCCACAGGGACACACAGGTGGAATCACGGACGCTGGAGACTCCAAAGGTGCCAGGGGCTGAGGCTGAGAAATGACCAATGGGGCAACAGGTTCACACGAAGCCTGGACTTCACCACTACGCAGTGACGCACGCAAGAAACCCACACCCGCATGCCCTGGGTCTGGTTAAAAGAAAAAGGATCAAATAAATGAACACATAAATATCACCGTCAGCTTTCTCCTGCAAAAGGAAGAAGAGGAAAAGTCACTTTCTCCCCTCTCTTCCATAACATAGGCACTCTTCCTTCCTCTGCCTGGGGGTGCACACAGCCTCGAGTTCCAGGCGAGCTGCCGAGGCCAGAGGACACACGCACCTCGAGACCACGAGAGGCTGGAGCCCCTTGTGAGAAGACAGTGCCCAAAGGACCCCATCAATCCAGGGTCTGGGCCAAACAGCAACTTTTTTTTTTTTTTTTAATGAGACGGAGTCTTGCTGTGTCGCCCAGGCTGTATTGCAGTGGCAGTATCTCAGCTCATGGCATCCTCTGTTGCCTGGGTTTGAGTGATTCCCCTATTCCCCTGCCTCAGCCTCCTGAGTAGCTGGGACTACAGGCACGCGCTACCAGGCCCGGCTAATTTGTTTTTTGTATTTTAGTAGAGACAGGGTTTCACCATGTTGGTCAGGATGGTCTCAACCTCCTGACCTCGTAATCTGCCTGCTTTGGCCTCCCAAAGTGCTGGGGTTACAGGTGTGAGCCACTGTGTCCGGCCCAAAACGGCAATTTTTAAAAACACTGTTAACTTCCTTCTTGCTCCTCTGTTGATTTATATTTCTAAAAGGCAGAGAGGATATTGAAGCTGGAAAGCGGGACAGGCCTGTTACACGCTCACACAGGAGAGGCCACAAATCAGCCGGGCCTGATGAGACACCGAGAGACCCTGGAGGGCCACCCGCCACTGCCCTGGCTCAGGGATGAAGTGGTGGGCTTTGGAAAACCATCGAGTGTGTGAGAAAATTCCCTTTCCCTTAAGTAATGTTTTCTGACTTGCCAAGGCACTAGAGAATAACTTAGGGATGACAGGGTCCAGGCTTTGGGAAAAATAAAGGCTCCTAAGAGAAGGTGTGGGGAAGTGAGCCAAGTTAATGAGAAAGAAGCCGGCCCTGGGGGCTACATCAAATGAAGCCCATGACCTGTTATACTTCGTCTTTCCCTGCTTTCTTATTAAGTAGAGGTTCGTCCAGGGATCCTGGCTGGGCACAGCCAGGAGACAGATCCTCCCAAAAGGGGAGGAACCTGCCACTCACATCTGCTGAAAGACCACGCGGGAAGTGCCCCACGCTCTTGCCAGAGCTGTCTTCACGTACGTCACCGTCAGAAAGCTGTCTCCTGCAGGTCTTCCCTTCCCTGAGGGAGTGTGGGTGGCTAACGGGACATTAAAGAAGGCCGTTTACAAAAAGATCATTTGCCAGACCCATAAGAACGGGACTTGATGTACTTGTATGTACCCCACTTTGGAGAGGCCGATTTTACTCCTTCACGTTGCTCAAATAGCAGGAAGGTCAGTGGGAGGGCCAGTGTCTTCTGAGGGGCATCCTGGGGACCCAGGCAACCAAGAGGAGCTGTGGGGCCCTGCCTGGGTAACCCGTGCTGCCGTCGGCCCCGATGGCTCCCACAGCCAGGTGTCGTGCGGAACTCGCCGGGGCGGTGGGGGGTGGAAGCGCAGGCTCCACCAACCACCGTGGGTTGCGCTGTGGCTCTCGCTGCGTGTTTTGGTTTTGAACATCAGCGGGTTTATTTGTTTCCAGCTCACCCTGTATCTCAGGATGGTCTTAAACGAATCTAGGTGCATACGCAACAGTAAGAATGTCTGCATTCTTTTTACAATGTCCAGAAAGCAGTCATAATATACCAACGGCAGCAAAAATATACACTGGGCAATGTGGCACAACGCCGTTTTACTTTGTAGAGATGGAGTCTCCCTATGTTGCCTAGGCTGGCCTTGAACTCCTTGGGCTCAAGTGAGCCTCCTGCCTCGGCCTACCAAGGAGCCGGGACCATGACACCAGGGCACCCGGCTGGCACACTGGGTCTTGGCTGCCCACCTGAGACAATGCCAGTGAGGAAGGCAGGCATGAACGTCTTCAGCATGTTCATGTGCACCGTTCCTTCCCAACTCCTCTTTCGCTGCCTGAGACTCCTGGGGCAAAGTCCTGAACGAGGTAAGCCTCAGTCCTGCAGCACACTTGTGAGCGGGCTGCCACGGCTGCCACGGCTGCAGCACACTGAACGGCAGAAGGGAAGGTTGCTGAACCACGGCGTGACAGAGATAAACTGGCCCCGGTTTTCTAAATGATCTCAGAGGCGGAATGAACATCTGGTCTAGTGAAGACAGATGGTGCTATCTGTCACTGTGGTTCACGGCCCTAATGGGAAGGTGTGAGCTCTGGAAGGAAGCAGGCAGGTGGGGGACGCTGCTCATCCCCCCACTTCATGGAGGCCCCGCCACGTATTGGGAAGGCGAGGACCCAGCCCTGCCGACTCTCAGAAAGTAGCACCGCACGTGGAGGTGGGCTCTGCCCGCGCAGGAGGGGAGCCAGCCAGGTCTAAACCGGAAAGAGGGGCCTTCTCACTCCCCCACAGCCACACACAGCTTCTCGCCCAAGTCCAACCGCACCACCCCAACCAACCACAAAAAATCTTTCCAGCTTTTAAAGTGAGTTATTAGACCTTGAAATCTATACTGACCTGTGGGTTCTAAACTCCTCTGACTCTGACCCAGCCCACACACCTCCCCACAAACACACATTCACTGAAATCGAAGTTCTGTGGAATCCTTCTCCCTTACTACCTGTGACGAACTCTTCAATTTCCGTGGCCTCCATCCTATCTCAGTGACCAAAAATCAGTCGGCAGGACCCACGACACTGACCTCCCAACCCACGAACAGGTCACAGCCTGCACGTGAACAGCACCGACCCGTGTGCGCTGGCATCCGAAGGGTGTGTCCCTAAAGGGCCTATTTGTTGAGCAGCCGGGACAGCCCCGTGCAAAGGAAGGGCGGCTGGCTTCCAGATCTGCGTGTGCCGCTCAGCATGTAACCTACGGGCTGGGACACAAAGCCCGCTCCGCCGGTCAGCACCTGCTCAGGGAGCCTCCTCCCTCCTCTCCCAGGATTCACCAACAGCTCCTGTCCTTCCCGAGAGAAGGAAGCCGTGATGTGGGGCGCCTGCTCTGAAGCAAGGCCCATCTGGAGCGGAACCTCAGCAATTCCTAAAGTGGAAATGGTCACCAGGGAGACGGGATGACAGACTGGCTGATGACTCCCCAACCCCAAATTTACACTCAACCGAGGGTGGAGGAGGGGAAATCAATGTCTTTCGAGGAGGGTCCTTTAGGAGTGAATGCACAGTCAGCCCAGTGACTCCTGCCTGGAGCTGTGTGCTCTGCTCGCCTGAATGCCACCTTGCCCATGTGCCGTTACCTTCAGGGCAGAGGGGCTGGGATGTTGCAGACCCATAGGGCTCAGGGAGAGAGAAGGCAGCGCTGGCAGCTGTGCAGACTTCTGGCTTCCTTCCTGCAGGACCTTGGCAGTCCGGCTTGGTCTGAAAGACTCACCTGCAGGACGATGGGCAGCTGTTCGGGTGGGTTCCGGTTCTCCACGCCCATGGTGAGCCACACCTGGAATGCGGTCAGCTGCTCGGCGAAGAACGGGCTGTGCTGCGGGGCAAGCAGAGCAGGCGCTCGTTAGGGCCACATCCCAGGACTCCCTGGCCCTGCCCACCCCGCCACCTGCCGGCCATCCAACACTTCGTGAAGGGCTCGCCCTGCAGGGCTGCGAGGATGCCAGGCAGCAGCTCAGACACGGGTGCTCTGGGCATGCCATGGAGGGACAGCCTGGGGGACACGTGAAGGCACCAGAGGTGGGCAGGAGAAGGGAGAAGCTGAGGGTGACTCTGAGGCCTTTGGCCTGGGCACCTGCTGGGGGGCTGGGGCAGCAAGAGGGGCATGCTAGGAACCCAACCGTGGATACGCGGTGCTCAGGACAGTGGCTGGACAAGGGAGTGAAGGCGTCAGGGGGCAGGGGATCCCATGAGCGTGCAGGTCAGCGGGCAAGTCTGGCTGCGGACACAGGGAGTCGTGGCGTGGGAATCTTTTTTTAAGTGAAGTGAGAAAGGAAAGGGACCCAGGATGGAGCCTCTGCTATGAGGACCAAGTGGGGTAGGGGTGGGGGATGCAGCTGGACGGAGAAGGCCCGCGGTGAGACCAAAGAAATGCATGGGGTCGGACTGCCAGGTGGCATCCAGGCCCCCTGGGGGGGGACCACAACTCTCCGTGGGGCACGGCTCCCTGTTAGCTCAGCCATGTGCGTGCAGGCAGAGTGGAGGGGATTCGTTTGGGTGCTGTGGAGCGGGTGGGCAAGGGCGGGTCCACAGGCAGTCGCGCTGTTGGGCCCAGGGCTGGAGAGGGTGAAGGCCGTGGGGGAGGCTGCCGTCAGGAGGTCTGGGAGCTGAGTGTCCAGGCAGGAGAAGGCCAGCCTGATTATCTCCACGGAGAGTCACTTCCACTCGACACACAGTTCTGCCTTCCCCAAGCCCCAGATACCAAGAATTAAAAAACAAACAAACCGACCAGCCTCTCTCCCCTCCACTGTCCTCTCTGCCCTACGTTGTTTTACTTTGCTCAGGGGGTAGTGGGGGGGCCACAGGCAGAGGTGAGTCTCTGTGAGAGGAGGTTGGGAGGGCGTCCTGCCTGCCCTCACCTGGCCAGGGTTGGCTATGCTGACCCCCAGGTCCCAGTGAATGTGGACGGACACACGAACGCCAGGGGAGGGCATGGTGCTTCCGTGGACCCAGGTCCGGGAGCGCCCTCGGCAGCCTCCACAGAGGCGCCTGGTGGGCAGAGCCCCGTGCCTCCGCTTAGAGTCAGCTGTGAACATTTACCACGTAGGCATTGGAGCTCTGTGTAGCCAGCTTACGTAAAGTTAATCACACTTAGGGGCAACCTGTGAGCTGGCGTGGAGCCCCCAGAGTGATTTTCCTGTTTTCAAGTGTGAATTATTCATAAATTGGTGCAGTACGCCCTCCTCCACATCCCGTGAGATGCGGTTCTCCTGAGTTAGAGAAGCCTTGTCCGTGAACGGAAGGCAGGTAATTCAGGTAATCATGGCTCTTCTCTCTTTCACATGAGCTCTGCCTGATGGATTTCCACATGATGCTCACTGCTGGAGTCACCACCCCATCCAGAAAGAGAAAAATTCCTGACTGTTCACCTAAAACGGACAAAAGAGGGAAAGCACACCTTTGCCCGGCAGGTGCGCAGGGAGGTCTGCGAAGCTCCCTGAAGCCACGGGGAGGCTGACAAATTACAGCAACTGCCCGTGGACGAGTGGCCAGCACTTCACATGACGCTCCAGAAAACATGTCTCCACCCGTGAGTCACACGCTGATGCTCTGGGTCAAACTGCTGACATTTCCTCTGCCCCATGAAGAGCGCCTGTGCTGGCCCCTGTGTGCAGGGGAGCGAAGCCCCTTCAGCAGGACGGAGAGCATGCAGGGCCCCTGGGCTGGGCGTCTGAGTTGCCCGCCACGACCACACACCTGGCTCTCCCAGGGCGATTCGGATGCCAGGAGTTTTGCTCTGTGGTCAGCCTGTGTGACAGGCAGTTTGGCATATCCTAAAAACAGGGGCAGCGGACTGAAGATGGAAGGCCAGCTGAGAGGCTGCAAGCCTCCGCGTCGCACTCGGGGTAGCCAGTCCAGCTGACTTCTGCGCCCGTCACCCTGAGCACACCTGCTGCCGGCCGCTGTCCTCACCATCCAGACATTCTGAGACACTGTGGTCCATCCTGACAGCGGCACAATACATGTGCCACTTATGACCAGTTTGCTGCTTAGAGAGGTGACCTAGAGTTCACTGCCAAGGGGACACTGTCCCCTCTGTACGGCCCCGTGTAGACGCTGTCCCCTCTGTACGGCCCCATGTGGACGCTGTCCCCTCTGTACGGCCCCGTGTGGACGCTGTCCCCTCTGTACGGCCCCGTGTGGACGCTGTC